CCAGAGACAACCTTCTTTAGGGCCTCGTCTCAACTAGTGTTAGACCAGAGAACGCCAAAAGGCGAACAGCACAAAGACAATGCACTATGATGACATTTATAGCTTGGGGTGAGCAGCTGCACATGTTTTATTACCAGAAAGGGTAAAACCTATTATTATACCTTGATACTGGCAAGAAAGGTCCCGTATTGTAACTGCTCACCCAAGCTATCAATGCCCTGATCTAACCGAAACACCCCCCCACACCCCTTAATTATGACACACGGTCAAGTAAAACCCTAATTTCTCACAGAGGGTAGTCAGGCCCTTCATCCAGCAGTATAGTGACAAACGAGCTGTACGTACAGGCTATGATAATGGCGCAGAGAATCCCGGGGGGCATGTTTCGCTCTCTCCCCTCTCTGCAATTTGCATTCCAGGTGGACACCCTAAGGGGCCATCCCCAAGTAATGTTTCTCACCTCAAGCATCAGGTGATCTCCCCCCGCCCCCACCACTGGCCTTTTGTATAAGCCCCCCCCCCCTTCCACCTACCTCCCCATACGTATCTCTGTTGCTAGGTGCCGCACAGCAAGGGAATTCGTGCGGTCTGTCTGTACGGTATAGAGACTAAAAAGATTCATGATTTTCATTATCAGTGGCAGGGTATTGTACTCCAGCCTAGATACACAATGCACTCAGAATATGTATTTTATACTGGAGGAATCCGATGATCTATAAAGGTATTTTTCACAGATGTCCACATAAATAACGTAATGCCCTTCATAATCGAAACACTGAAACTGACATCAAACCCCCTTGGCTCCCAGGCGAACATTCTGCCACCAAATATCTGCAGATACATGCACAAGCAAAGGGGGTTGCACGTTTTCTTGCCAAGAACAACCACTAACCCATCAACCAAGACCTCAACAATGTACCTCACCACCGACTCAAGTCCCCGATCCCCCTGTTGAGTTTGTGCTACCACCATCCTAAAATCCCACCCAGATCCCGAAAGAATGTTGGCAAACAGAGCGGAACAACGTGGACGTCCAGAACGGACACCTTTTTCGACATTCCTCGGAGACACTGGCGTAATCAATGGAAGATTAAAGACAAGCCACAGTGCGACTGTGGCCATGCAATGGGTTGTATAGTAAACCACTGTCGTCTACGCTCTCTCTCTCCTGGAGTACCCGGAGGAAATTGACTCCTACTAGGGGCTAGCGCTCAAAACTACTCACAGATGGAGTAAATTGCTAAACTGCCGTCTCCTGGCCACCTCGCAGCCAGGCAGTTGGCTAGTTTCTTACGGTCCAGGGTTAACTATTTACTATAACTGTACTATTTTTTCTTTTACCAGGTGAGGCCCACTGAGCTATACGCATTTAGCTCTTATTTAGAAGCGAGCCGGCCACAAATGATAGTTCAACGACGTGGCTTATGATGTGCAAATGTGGAGGGAAAAACTGGAGGGCCCGGAGAAAAATCCACACGACTACGGGGATAGGGACATGCAAACTTCAAATATACAGCAGCAGGCGTCAGGATCGGGATCGAACCCACGACCGCCTGTATACCAAGCGAAGTAGTTAACATCTATGGCTCGAGTGCTTCAATATTTCTATTTTGGTGCCCTCAAAATGATGTCACTTCGTACTTGTCCCCACGTCTCTCGGGTTCTACACGTGCGTCTCTCCGTGTCTTTGTCGCTCTGGATTTATGTCTCTGAAAGTGGGGATTTGTATTTGCGTCCTAATCATCACATTTGGTTACAGCTACTCCACACAGTTACAAAAAAACGAAGCCACGCGCAAATCGTGCGGCGATAGAGCCACGGCCAGTATGAAGCCCTGCCTTGTGCCTTTCCCTCTCACAATATTTGTTTACAAAATAATGATCATCCTCCACATCATCACATAAGACATCAGGACAATAGCTGCGAGGCTGCCCAGGACATGGAAGTGCTACGTGTGACTCCTGCAGGTACTTTAGTTTTACTCCCACTCAGAGCAAAATCAATTAATTCATTACATTAACCAAACCCCCCCCCACCGCCACCAGTATAGCAGGAGGATCCTCCTCTTGAAAAAGAGTATTGCAACTCAATGGCGATGCTCTTTGAGTTTTATTTAAAATAAAATAAAAATTTAGACCACATCAGCACTGTACTCGATTACCGAAGCCACTACAAGGAAGTTGGGAATAGTAAAAAAAAAAACTATCAACATTTAAAAGTATGAAGAGAAATGATGATAAGGAGTATATCTCCGTCAGCCTACGGATATTTTTGTCGCAGTAAACTGTCAGTGCATTTTCTTGGTTCTTTCCCTTAGTAAAATGTAAGTGCATTTTCTTGGTTCTTTCGGTAAAGTCACGTAGAAGGGAAGTAATACAATAATAAAAATAAAACATAATAAAATAATTCTCACGACGTTTCGGCCACAACGCAAGCAGCCGTCCTCAGGTGAAGACCAGGTCTGTCAGGGAGACAGCGTCTGAATGAATTCAGTACTTCCCTTCTACGTGACTTTACCGAAAGAACCAAGAAGATGAATCCCTGCAGTCACGAAAGCTTTAAATCGAAATTTGGCAGTGCATTATCGCGTCATGTAACCATCATGATGCCGTCAATTTATCCAGAAAACTTTTGCGAAGAACCTATATTATTGTGAACTTTAATTATTAAAGACATGGATATGTCGTCAGATAATATAACTTCAGGGAACAAGATGAGCAACCATAGGTACGATCTTACATTTTTTTGCAAAACGTAGCACGATACGATCCTGCCCCCTTATATCGTCAGATATCGTACTGCGAATATATCGATATAACCCGTAATACGATATATATCGCAGCATCGCCACGTCGCTGCAACCCAACTCCAATCTGACGACGCAACCACGTGGAGGGCAAATCCTCTGTTGACGCCAGTACAGTGAGTGAGGCAGGGCTTAAGCTCTGAGGATGGAAGATCCGGATGGTTGTGATTTAGTGGTGGTGGTGGTGGTGGTTGTTGTTTGTGATGTGGTGGATTTTTGTTGGTGGGGGAGCGCGCTACGCTGCGCTGTCGCTACACGAACCCGGCGCGCCCGAGTTCGATTCCGGCTCACGGCCAACGCCGGTGACGATTACGTGAACCTCAAATGAGTAAACCTGCTGCGTTGCGTAAAAGTCGTTACGGGTGGGTCTTTGTAATTTCGTGGTGTGGCTTTTGCTGGTGCAGTCCCATCCATCCTTCCAATGCATTGCAAGACACCCAATGTCGCCCCCAGCCTCGTTCTCCCTCATCCTCTGTGGGGGTGTTTTCCCCTCTCGAGCAAAGTTAATCGACGCGCTGCGAATTTAATATAAATAATGCACTGGGAGTAATCGAGGAGGGGGGGGGGGGAATGGAAACCTAATACAGGGAAACGCATGGCAGAAAAATGCACGCGAGGCAGTAGAAACAAATCGGGTCGAATGTTTGATAAAATTTAAAACTGAATGGTGACGAGACGAATCATGGAATGGCTGGGAGTGGGGGTGGTGGTGCATAATGAGATTCCTAGTTCCACTCCATCTCACGAGCCCCCCCCCCGGCCCTCTATCTCTCCGCCTTGGCTATAGCGCCCCCCCTTAATCCTTCCCGTACTCGTTCACCCACGCCGTATTTGTATCTCTCTCTCTCTTTTAGTCGCTCTCCCTCTCCATCTCTCTCTGCCTCGTCCGACTCGACCGTCTCCATCATCTCTTGCTGCTTCTCGCTACTCACCATCTCTCCCTTAGGGGCCGTCTATAAATGACGTCACGCACCTAGGGGGGGGGGGGGGTCAGACATTTGTGACGATGTGTGACGAGGTGGGGGGGTTGAGAAATGTGACGTCACATCAAAATGCGCAACTTTAAATAAATATAGACAACACGTTCTACTTGATTAAATAGACTTTTTAATAAAAAAAAATTCTCCTACAACATCAGAGTGCAGCGCCACATTAAATACGCACTACAATGACAATAGTTTAAAGCGATTTGAAGCATGTTTTATTTTCAAAATGGAAATATGGTTTGGAGGGGGGCAGAGCTTTGTGACGTCATATTTTAGGGGGGGGTCTGATTTTTTGTGACGCAGTGTGACGAGGGGGGGGTCAAAAATCGTCCAAAATCGCGTGACGTCATTTATGGACGGCCCTTATTCGATCTCTCCAATTGCGCTCTCTCTCTCTGCCTCTCACACTCCTTCCCATCTCTCGCATACTCGCTCGCTCTCCCCATCCCTCCCACCCCTCCCACCCCTCTCCCCACCCCTTCCCCCGTCTCCCCACCCCTCCCACCCTCTCCCCCTCTCCCCATCCCTCCCACCCCTCTCCCCCTCTCCCCACCCCTCCCACCCCTCTCCCCATCCCTCCCCCCCGTCTCTAAATCCCTCCTCCCGTCTCCCCATACCCCCCCCCTCTCCCCATCCCTCCCACCCCTCTCCCCATCCCTCCCCCCGTCTCCCCCCGTCTCCCCACCCCTCTCCCCATCCCTCCCCACCCCTCCCACCCCTCCCACCCCTCCCCCCACCCCTCCCACCTCTCCTCCCGTCTTCCCATCCCTCCCACCGCTCTCCCCATCCCTCCCCCCCGTCTCTCCATCCCTCTACCCGTCTCCCCCATCCCTCCCCACCCCTCCCACCCCTCCCCACCCCTCCCACCCCTCCCCACCCCTCCCCACCCCTCCCCCCGTCCCCCCACCCCTCCTACCCCTCCCACCCCTCCTCCCGTCTCCCCATCCCTCCCACCCCTCCCACCCCTCTCCCCACCCCTCCCCCCGTCTCCCCACCCTCCCACCCCTCTCCCCACCCCTCCCCCCGTCTCCCCACCCTCCCACCCCTCTCCCCACCCCTCCCCCCGTCTCCCCATCCCTCCCACCCCTCCCACCCCTCTCCCCACCCTCCCACCCTCCCCTCCCCACCCTCCCCCCTCTCCCCACCCTCTCCCCACCCCTCCCCCCGCCCCTCCCCCTGTGGGAGGAGCCTGCAGCCCGCATGAGTCACTCGCCCGGAGCGGAGCAGGGTGAGATTTGGGTGTGGTGCTAACTCACGCAGCAGACGCACACACACACAAGGACACATATCGTACACATACCGACCTACACACACGGACAGAGATATACGTACAGGTATATACACACCCACTGATACATACACACGCGCAGATACACATGTTCAAAGATACACACAGACGCGTACGCGCAAAGATATATACACGTACTGTATATACTGTACAATACTTACACAAACACATGCATAGAGATTTACACGCATAGAAACATACACACGGATATACACGCACAGGGATATACACGCACAGGGATATACATACATATCGAGTCCACCCCAAGACTCTCACGCACAGTCACGCCTGTCACCCACCCACCCCTCCTCCTCCACCATTACCACACCCACCCACCCACCCCTCCAACACGACGTCCCTTCTCTGCCCAGTGTTTTTTTAACTCTACAACACTCACACACGCTCACGTCTACCACGCATTGCACACACACACATCAACCCTCTTTCACGGCAACATTCGGTCCAGGCTAGGACGTTAACCCACACCCCACCTTAACCTCACTGCCTGCCTGCCTGCCTTTGGTCCACAGCGCTGCGTTGTTGTAGGTGGTGGTGGTGAGGCTCGCTGGCTGGGTGGGAGGCTATCGTCGAGATCACACTGCCTGCCCGTCGCCACAGCTGCTGCTGCTGCAGCTACTGCTACTCATCCTCCTCCTCCCACAAGCTAAGCAGGAGCGGGCAGGCGAAGGGCCACCACCACCATCACGATGCCGCAACTCGGCATCACGGCGCGTCTCCAACGCGAGCTGCTGAAGGCTGACGGCGTGGGGGCCACCTGCGACAGGGCGAGCCAGCACATGGGCCAGGACTTCGAGCGAATTCGACAGCGATGCCTCGAGAGTGGAGCCCTCTTCGAAGACGACCGCTTCCCCGCCGCTGCGCCCACGCTGGGCTTCAAGGAGCTGGGGCCAGGCTCGTCCAAGACCAGAGGGCTGCAGTGGTGCAGACCGCCGGTGAGATTATGGGCCCTCTCTCTGTGTGAGAATGTTGGCATTGTTGTGGCCGGCGTAATGGTTTGTTGTTGGCAAATGCAACATGCGTGGTCGGTGGCAGCGTTGGCGGTAAATGATGCGGCAAGCAGCGGATGCTATCAATAGTTTCAGGGTCATTCGTATCAGCGCCGTCAGTGCCGAATTCGGTGATATTGAAGCAGCAACGGGATCATTATAGGCGTCTTCATCGCTAACATGGCCACGGAAATAGTCGGCATCATCATCATCAGCAGGAGCAGCGTTGTTATTGATAATAATGTTGCAGCAATAATCATCAGCAGCAGCATCATCATGATCATCAGCGGTAGGCAGCATCACAACCTCGCTGGCACGACCGTCGTCATAAGCAACTGAATGTGCATCGTCATCTGCAGGAAAGTAATCAACCCCCCCCCCCCCCCCCATCAGCATTGTCAAGATGACTACAATAATAATAATAAAATGCCCTAGTTTACAATAGTTTAAAGTGTTTAAATATGATCATAGGGGTTTCCACTTTTTTCTGGCAACAAAACAATTGTGTTAAGATGTTGAAACCCCAAACTGAAACCTTTTACATGTCTGCATTAACCTTGTGCTCAGAATGCAAACAAAAAACATTCTGATAATATTGGCATTGTCTTTGAAACTGATTGGTCCACACCAGAGACAGATTTCTTGGTTTCAGGATCTTAACACCTGATATTTGCAAGAAACAAAGGGGAAAAAACCTATTATCATGTTTTGGTACTGGCAAAGGAGGTCCCATGATGTTTACATATGCATTGATTTATCTGGCAGCTCAATCTTCTATATTTATTACTGTATTTACCCAATAATGTCAGTGTGTAACGCGTGTGACGTCACTCCACGTCGGCCAGCCCCCCTCATTAATAATCATGAACAGGTGACGTCACTCCACATGGACCCCCCCCTCATTAATAATCATGAGCAGGTTACCTCACTCCATATCGAACAGGCCCCCTCATTAATAATCATGAAGAGGTGACGTCTTCCAAATGGACACCCCCCTCATGAATATTAATTAGCTGGTGACGTCACTCCACATGGGGGGGGGGGCGAGGCGCCTCCACCCCCCTCCTCGGCGTCAACTCACAGCCCTCACTACAAAGGCAGAACCCTCACGTCATCACGTGGTCTCCGTCACGCTGTTGAGACATCGAAGTAAAAAGGACGTCGTGATGAACAAGGAATTATAATCTTCAAATGAAATAAGTCTGTGTCAACGCGGCCTGACAAATTGCACACGCATTGATGCAATGAATATATCACGTCGCGGTCTGCTTTTTGCTTGCAAGTTTCAGATTTATTACAATACACCCGTCCTTGGACGGGCAAAATGCTAGTAACCTCAATACCTGGAGTGGTGACATCACCTGATGACCATGGAACATCGCATGTGTTAGTGAATTGTGTTATGAAGAAGGGCCATTTGCTGAAACGTCGCCTTTTGTATTGTGTATACAGTATATGTGGGTTTTTTTAAAGCCACGGTGTTATTGACGACAGTGATTCGTTTTTTGTGTGCTTTAATTAATAATCAGTGGCAACGCTGCAGCATCACTAGATAGTGTTTGTTCACGAGTTGGAATTGTTTGGCTGACAACCACAATGCACAGGCGATATATTACTGTATTGTTGAAATAAAATGTGCTTATGAGCGACTGTCAGGTTTTTTTAAAGATTTAAAATCCAGCAAATATAAATATGGGTGGAACGGTGGGACAGCGGTGAGCGCACTGCGTGAGTAACCCATACCGTGTCAACCCATACGGTTTTACCCAGTATTATTGTACAGGGAAATTGAGTTTTCAGATCCATACGGCGTGTTCTCTCCTGATGGGACTTTGTAGGATGAACGTTGAGAATTATAAGGGCACGGGGTGACCAATAAGGTCTGAATTTGTCTATAATAAGGTAGGCACTGATAAGGTGTTGACAGGTATGAGAACCCGACCACCAGAGTTCGATGAAGTATGGTCAAACAGCTTCCATGAGCGGACAGGGCAGGGGGTCATCTTTTCTCCAGCAGTGGATTGACAAAGAGTTGTGCATTACTAAAGCGGACATTATAAATATACAATGAGCGTGCCCACCGTTTCGTACAGCGTCTCCAGATGCGGTTGTATTGAGATGTGATAAAACAGCAGTAACATCCGTTTGGCTTTAAATCGCAGTTGATGGTCTGTACACACAGATACACACACGACTTCTTGGCATTGGTAAATCCACCCCACGCCCATTTCCTTTTGTGGTGTCGTCCAATCGGCGGTCTGGTCCAAGTGTCCCAAGTGCCACATTGGTTGGAGGCGATATCATCATGCGTGTTGTGGAGAGGGGAGCTTTAAATTTAGTGAAGGGGATGGTGAACCATTACACGCATGTTATTTTTATATATTTTTTTTCCGTCTCGTATTAGCCCTCCGAAATTATAGCGACCCGGCGGCTTAAAGTGACGTTCAAATAAAACGTCTAACTGCATTACAAGTGTATGAAAGATATACTTTCAATGCGGGAATAATTTAATTTGTGTAGCAGTGTCAGCGACTTTTGAAGTCGCTTAAAAAGCTTTTTTATCACCACTCGGGATGCACTTTGTTGAGACATTAACTTAAGGCAGAAAGTAGGATTTGGTAGCCAATACAGGGATCCACGTTTGTTTTTTAGGGTGAGGCCATGCGGTTCGTTTATGCCAACATTCCCCTAAAACTCATACCGTGTCAACCCATATGGCTTACCCCGTATTCTTGTACAGGGGATTTGAGTTATCAGGTCCATACGACGTACAGCCGTTTCAATAGGGCAAACATTAGTTTTGTCTATTTGTGTTGTGTTTCTCCCTTGTGATGGGACTTTGTAGGATGAACGTTGAAATGTATCAGGTCTGAATTGATCTGTAATAAGGTAGGGCACTGATAAGGAGTTGACAGGTTTGCATGTGTGTGGGTGAGTGTACTAGTGGTGATTGTATATTTGTGTTGCATTTCTCCCTTGTGATGGGACTTTGTAAGATGAACATTGAGATGTATAAGGGGCACGGGGTGACCAATGAGGTCTGAATTGATCTGGAATAAGGTAGGGCACTGATTAAGGGTTGACAGGTATGTTAACCCCTCAAACACCCGACGAGGCGGGACAAAGAGATTATTTATTCGGATTCATGTATTGGATCCGTTTCTGGCCAACAAACGGAGTGTGCAGGGACACTTTCGGCCAATATTGGTTCAATTGTTCCAACCAAATGGTTCCAACCATATTGGCAACGTTACACGCTGAACTGGGTTAAGTTTTTTTCTTTCAGATTAGTTGTAGCCTTAGCATCTTTGATATGAACGCGGTACCAGTTCGAAAAAGATGACATGGGTTTTAAGAGCTGCTGTAAATGGGTACAAGGGTTTCTTTCGTTCACACGTGGAATGCCCCGTGCAGTGAGTTCCTTATCACGCTGTGGTTCTGCCTTGTAACATTGACTCGGATAACACCGACAATTATAAGTATACAGTATATTTCGCAATGCTATCGTAAATATAGATACACTACCACCACATCAAGGTTAGCTTAATCAATAACGTGCGGTGGGATTGCCCCTGTAATGTGTAAATACTCTGGTTGTGGTTTACTTGTTTGCATGTAAAAGTAATATTTTTTTTTAATAGCGGGGTTTTTATTACAAGAAAACACCACTTTGATGGTTTGATAATGCATGTGTAAGGGTTGTATTTATGGAAACTCTTTTCCAGTCATAAGATAAAAAAGGGCTTTATCCATTTTGACATACTTGCTCCAACAGTCTGTTGAGACTATAAGGGGGATCTTTGTCTTTGTACGCAGTGGAGTAGTGGTTCGCGTGTAGTGCTACGAACCCAGCGACCCGAGTTCGATCCCCGCTCACGGCCAACACCAGTGCATATTTTCTCAATCGGTCCTCGGGCTCCCCTAGGTCGACTCAGCCTCAAATGAGTACCTGGTGCAGTGTGTAAAATCATCACCACTGGGGAGACAAAGGCGGTCGGGCGTGGTGCTGGCCACCCACCCCCCTCGTGTATCGTGCTGGCCTTCAGAAGTGCTACTCGCTAACAGCACTTACCACAAGTTTGTTCAGGCTATACGGGGGGGGGGGGTCTTTGTGCTTGGTGGCTCTGCGATGTTCTTGCCTTAAGACTGACTGCGTTCTACCCGTGTTTTTTTCTCCAGGATATTTAACTCCACAATATTTCATCATTGTGCATTTTAGAGAGTTGAATTGCACGCGACAAAATGTGCGCACACGTTTTACTACTACTAGCGGGCAATACACTTCCTCATGGGGTTTACCTGTTCATGACTGTTGGTCAAATAGGACTTTCATTTACCTTTGGCGGGCCACGCAATTTCCACATTCATAGCAGGAAGTCATTTCAGTGAGAGAAATGGCCGAGTACACTAAACCTCCAAACACAATGTTCCCAGTAGAATAAAAAAACGAGACATCCCTTTCGTACCCAATCAATGTTGCTGTGATGCTTGTGCTGACTGGATATCGTTTGCGGGGCTATCATTAAGTGGTAGGCCTCATGTGGCCATGGGCCATATATAGTGAAGACATGGATTTTGCCCCACTAGACGGCCATAGGCACCCCCCCCCCCCCAGTCCAAATGTCAATTGCCCTGTTATTCACTTAAATATTTTTTGTATTAACTGAACAACGTGTTGTTGGCTTGATGTTTGTGAAAATCGAGTCATCTTGACAATTTGACATTACCCACGAACCGTTAAGACAAGCAACTGCAGGTCCACACAACTCCGCAAGTTGCTTAAATTTTCCCTCCAACCCTCCACCCATGTCAATTGCCATGAATCTGCCTGCATTTCCATTTAAACATAGTTTTATAATTTTTGTTTCGTTATGCATTACCTGTATTATGTCGCTTGATCTGTCTTATTAGAAAGTAAAGTACATTTAGGTTGTATATACAGTAACAAAATAAAAAAAAATGTATTCTCATAAGCTGTACATAATACATTTTTACACTCCACTCTACTCGATATTAACCGATGAATCGTTGCACCCCTACCGTGTGTCCCGTGCACAGGATATCTGCAGCAACCCGCAGTTTGTGGTTGGCGGTGCATTACGCACAGATATCTGCCAGGGAGCTCTGGGTAAGTCCACGCCTTCCCCCTATATTTTCATCTTCAGCCATAATCTATCCACTGGTGGATGAAGGCATCCCACAAGCCGTCGTAAACTCTTACAATCTTGCAGTGCCGCGATCCATCTAGCGCCTTTGCAGGAATCGGATTTCATCGCTCCACCTTTGCGGTGGACATCCTCTGTAAGGGGTGGGGGGAAGGGGGCGGAGTGATTTTCTTTGGCTGCCACTGCCGTTGGTCTCAGCCACACACGAGCCATCATCCCGTCTGGCGATGTATCCGTGCCTAATTCCACTTCCTCTTCTTTACAGTAAACATGATGTCTCCGACTTGAGTGTGTTCCCTCGTTCATTAAAGAGAGACACATCATCTGGCCGACCTTTTACCGCCTGTCCCCTGCCGCCTCCCCCGCCACACAATATACTCTCCATAAAATCATTATCTTTTAGACACACACCTTGTCTGTCCATCGGGTCACATCATCAATAAATGTGGCCCTTGACCCGTATACAGCGAGTGCTCGTTTAGCGCGGGTATTAGATGCGTTCCTGAAAAGAGCCGCGGTAAGCGAAATCGCGTGAACTCAAAACAGTTTCCGCATACATTTTTAAAATAAAGTTTGTCGAGATACGATGTACGCACACAGTAAAACGGCGGGGCAAGTAACCGAGGGTACGCCGCCACATTACTGTGTCATTCCCCGTATTGTATCATCAACCGCTCAGAAACCGCGCTATAACGGGGCACGTTCTGCATTATAACGATGTGCGTTGTGTGAAGATGTTTCCCCAATGGAAGAACCGCGTTACAGCAAAAACGCGTTGTGTGAATACGCGTTAAGCGAGGACTTGCCGTATCTTGTGTACCGCTCTCTCAACCCTGACTGTTGTTTCCCACTCATCTCACCGATCTCGTGGTTCTGTGTCTTGGTGAGCCACCCGTCGGCGGGCCAGTTGTATGTATGTTGAATTTCTTTCGCACCGTACGTGGCCAACCGTGCTAATTGGAGGTGCTTTCATCAGTGCAAGCGCTTTTGTGGGCCTCCAGTTAAGGAACCCCTGATGTTAGAGCTGTGTACACTTCTGTGGACCTTGGCTGAGAATTTGAAACTGAAGAGCGCAGTGGAGTTTGTTTATGGGGCCATTCCTTGCTGGTGTGACTCAGTGAAGTCAGAACTTCTTTGCACATGGTGTTTTATTTCAATGATTAAGAAACTAAACCCACGTGCATGTAGAGTACAATTTAACACGTAGCAGGCTTTCGCGACCAATATCATCCATAATAGATGTTTTTTTGGGTTAGATCGCGTAAATATATAAATGTATCGTTAAAACCCGCCACCAGCATTCGAAATTGTTGAAGCCGATAAAAAAATATTTTTATTACGTGTGTCTCCCAGCAAGTTTTTGGAGCGGGTTTGAACCTCAGACTCGAGAGAGGCTGAAACTGGTCCACGGTGTGTCAGTCTAAACGTATGCTGCAGTAAAAATTGATGGGCTGACGGACTTTCGTTTAGTTTTTGCAAAGAGACGGAGCCTCCATCCGTGAATATTTTCGCCTTTAATGGTATTTCCCCAACCCAGCGCTGTGACGCATAATTTCTAACCACTGTACGCCACCTTCCTCTTCCTCCCAGGTCTCTCTCCTGCTCTGCTCCCTTCCACCCCCACCTCCCACTTCCTGCTGCATGTGACTGCACTTGTGTGCAAGTGTATTTTTGTGAGTGCGTGTGACTGCACGTGTGTGTGTATTTGTGAAACTATGTCCGTGTGTGTGTAACTGCCCTCCTGTGTGACTGTATGTGAGAATGTGTATATGTCATGCTGGCCTCTATAGGTGTATACGAGGGGATAACAACCCAGAGCTCTGCACAGATGGATCCTGGAATCCCTTGCTTCACCGCCATCTCCTGGCCACTTGGCAGCGTGAATTCGGTGGTGTTCAACGGCTGATCCCCGAATCGCACGTGTAGTTTAGTTTGTATGAAGAGAGTCATATCTATGGGACATTTTTGGCAGTATCAAGACGATGCATTTTTTACGAATAGGCGTCATCCTTTTTGGCAATGAAACAGGTGTTAAGATTAAATGGGTGTCTATTTGGTGTCCCAACATCTTAACACCTGTTTTATTTCCAGAAAGGGTAAAGCCTGTTATTATTGTTTTCAAAGAGTCATACCTTGGATACCTGACCCCAAACAAAACAATGGAAAGGAACAATGTCCAGGTGCATGGACACGCCCATAGAATGGGGACTGGGTCTCTCAGTGTTGTGTTTTGTGTGTGAGCGAGTTTACTTGTGTGTGTGTGGTTGTGTGCGCTTGTGGCTGTTTACAAACCACCCAACTCCCTCGTGCGCTGTGCCGGCCTTCATAGGTTCTTGCTCACAGCACTTGCCCTAACAGTCTGGTAAAATCTTTCTGGGAGATTTGTTTCTTTGTTTACAAACCCAACAGGAACATATCGTGCTGAAGTTTTCTATACCGTCGTTATCACTATGCTGAGAAACCACAGATTAAGTTGGAAGGCAGTCAGGTGGTGAGCTAGCTGGCAACAACAATAGTCCAAGTTCTGCAGTCCTCTATTTAGTAAGGTGTTTGCAGCAAGTTAATGAGTGTTATACAGTCGATCATCGATTATCCTGTGACTTCAGGTGGAAGGTGGTGTAGAATTTTCAAAAACGCCGGATAATCACTCAATCATTATTTAAATTAGCTTATTTTTGCGCATGCTTGCATGTCATCATATTTATAGGTGTTGGGTATATGTTTTTTTTGGTGTTTTTAATTTATCAGAAGTTGACACAAATAAAAATACAAATTGACGCGAATGAACATCTTCCTGTTAAAAGTTGCTGTATTTACGGGACCGTATTTACCACTCCAATCACGAAAGACTCCGCGTGGGGTGATGTACGCAGCACGACTTAGGCTCTTCAACGTCGCGTGTGACGATCGCCGTTACTGGGTTGCAGCTTCTGGAGCGGTTTTTCCGGTTTAGCCAGATCGGCTCAGGACCGCCGGATGCTGTTGGAAGCAGCCGGATAATCGCGCGGTGCCGGGATAATTCGATCATCGATTATAATCGATAATCGATGTATCGATTATAAACGATGATCACCTGAACTTGTGTTCACCGATGTCAGCTCTGTTACTCGCGCGTGGCTCGGCGTGCTCACGTTTGGTGAGAGTTGAGATATTTTTAATTGAATGGGGGGGGGGGGGGGGGAGTAGTGTGCTGCTAGCAGGGGGGGGGGGTGGAGAGTGGTGGGTGGGGATAGGGCTGACTCGCCCTGGGGGTACGGAGCGTGACCGTCAACAACAGTCTCTTCGTCGTGAACCGGTTACGGGACGCCTTTTGAACGCACGAGTGGGAGGAGGAATTAATCAGAAACTCGCCCTCTATTCTCTCTCTCTCTCTCACACACACACACACGTGTGTTCATTTGTTTGTAATATGGATTTAATAAAGTGTTTGTTTGGGGGGGGGGGCGAATTGCTGTAAAAATGCTGTATGGGATTGTATTCGGACCCTTGAGATGTAATGTGTGTTCAATATTGGATTAGATGAGGGTTCTGTATCGGATGAGACGCGGGTCCTTTATAGGAGAACTAGCTGTACTACCCGGCTTCGCCCGGGACTTGTATCCACCACGCCCGGCCGCCTTTGTCTCCCCAGTGGCGATGTTAATACGCCACACCAGTTACTCGTTTTGAGGCTGAGTCCCTCCCTCACCACTCTCCCTCCCTCACCACTGTCCCTCCCTCACCAGTCTCCCTCCCTCACCGCTCTCCCTCCCTCACCGCTCTCCCTCACTCACCGCTCTCCCTCCCTCACCGCTCTCCCTCCCTCACCGCTCTCCCTCCCTCACCGCTCTCCCTCCCTCACCGCTCTCCCTCCCTCACCACTCTCCCTCCCTCACCACTCTCCCTCCCTCACCGCTCTCCCTCCCTCACCGCTCTCCCCCCCTCACCGCCCCCCCTCACCGCTCTCCCTCCCTCACCGCTCTCCCTCCCTCACCGCTCTCCCTCCCTCACCACTCTCCCTCACCACTCTCTCTCCCTCACCACTCTCTAGAGGACGTGAAACTTTGATGAATTTACCTCAGAGTCGCGTGGTGGGTGTCGAGGCCTAGCACCGTGTAGAGCCTCCGGCCTCGCCTAAATTGCCCACCCGGCTGAGGCTGGGTACGGGTGGCGTTCCCCCCCCCGCCCTACAATAATACTGTCTAATCGCTATAATTTTATAATCTACCGACCCTATAATAGTAATTGCACACATTGTGGTGGGGGGGGAGTGAAGAGGACGTGAAACTTTGATGAATTTACCTCAGAGTCGCGTGTTAATGCGTGCGCTTATTTTTAATGGGAATTAAAAATGGCGTCCACCCCGCGGCGAAGGCGTCGCTACCCGTTGCCAGGGGCAACCGCCGTCCAATGAAAGCGGCGAAGGCGTCGCTACCCGTTGCCAGGGGCAACCGCCGTCCAATGAAACTGCGTATGGTCCGGCGACCCACAGACAGACAGATTCGCGATTTTATATATATAGATTGGGTTATTTCTGGGATTGAGACAAGTGTTGTATATTGGATAGACTGATTGTGTGTGGGTGAAGAACAAGGTTCTCTATCAGATGAAGACGATGGTTCTGCATAAATCGAGACGATTCAGTATCGAGACGAGAGCAAGGGACTTCCATATCGGATGAGATGACGGTCACATGTTGGATTTGGCACTGTTGTCAAGATGTCTTGCTGATAATCGAAACCAATTTTAGACTTAACCTACATTCTCAACTGCTACGGATACACGAGGCCACCAATTTTTGTCATCTTCTGCAAATGAATACACGTGTATGTGCCCCATCACGGCAGATTAAACGTAGTGATAATAAATAATGTGTCATTCCTTTTTCAATCCACTGCTGGATGAAGGCCTCTTCCCCCGACACCATGTCGGTCATGGGGGTTGCTGGCCAACCTTCACTCCGCTTGCCAGTAGTGCATGTTGG